CTCTGGGCAAGTTTTTTAAAAGTTATCTCATCTCATATTACGCAAAATCGAGCGGTGTGGTAGTTGTGATAGCACTTGAGGATTTTTACTGGATTTTAACTCTTGTCTCTTCAAGGATTCGAGGAAGGACTTCGAGCGGCCTCCACACGCCTGCCCTAAGGTAAGATTTTTTTWWAAYTAATTTAGCTCATTTTTTCAAGGTTGCATCGGTTTTGGGCTTTTATTGTGCACAGCTTTTACTTTTCGGTTACATCATTTCAGTGCATGACACACTTTAGGCGAAATTCGTGAATTTTGTTTTTTAAATAAGCCTAAATTTTATGTGTAATCAGTTGAAAAATCGTCGTAGAGCATTTTAACTTGTTGCATCGTGTTCAGCGTGTGATTTTACGTCTAGAATACTATATTTCAAGTGTTTTGGTCCTCTTGGACCCCCATTGGGTATAATTTTTAATGTTTTCTATTTTCGGTGATTTTTCATAAATTTGATTTTTTTTTGGTAACTGTCTTATGTTTGGCACCGTTGGAAAGCACTTTTAATTTGCAATCTTATTATATATAGTTCTGCGATGAGAAAATCGCTGGTAAAGTCAAAAAAAAAATTAATTCAACAATTACTTGTAAACTATCATGAATTTTGCGGTTTTCTCGGCAGCAATCGACTCTTCGGAACATTTTACATTGGTGTAATACAAAACAAAAACCGTTTTTAATATATTTTAGCCTGTATTAACAAAATAAAAGTGAATGAAAATTTTTGAATTGAACTAAAATCTGAAATTTTTTCATTTTAGCACGTTTTTAGAAACTCAATTATTTTGACAGATTTTCTCGAAAAAACACTAAATTAATTAAAAAATGCTCTTATTTGTCTTCTTTTTTACAATATTTCACTGAACAGAATAAAAAAAAATTGTTAAATTGGGTAAAATATTACAGAATGTTTACCTTTCTCGGGCACACTTTTCAGTTAGGAACACAATTATTTCGATAAAAACAAGCCAAAAATTCACCAAATTACGATTATTTTTGCCTTTTTCGAGTGTTTAAACACGTTTTTGAGACAAATTTCACTAAAATTGTCTGAAAAGTGTCCAAATTATATCGAAATTTGTATGATTTTAGTTTGTTTCGTTTGATTTAATTCTTTTTTGAAGTAGAGACTTATTTATTTTTCAAGATTTTCTTAAAACGGGTGTAAAAAAACACAAAAATAAATCGAAATTGATGTTATTTTCATTCGATGTAACTGATTTTTGAGCAAAATTTAGTCGAAAATAAGCCGAAAAAACACAAAATTTGGTCGAAAACATTGTCACTTTTACTTTTTTCAAACTTTGAAAAAAATATTGATTCGACAATAACTTGTAAACTATCATGAATTTTGCGGTTTTCTCGGCATCAATCGACTCCTCGGAACATTTTACATTGGTATAGTACAAAACATAAACCGTTTTTAGCCTGTATTAACAAAATAAAAGTGAATGAAAATTTTTGAATTGAACTAAAATCTGAAATTTTTTCAATTTAGCACGTTTTTAGAAACTCAATTATTTTGACAGATTTTCTCGAAAAAACACTAAATTAATTAAAAAATGCTCTTATTTGTCTTTTTTTTACAATATTTCACTGAACAGAGTAAAAAAAACGCTAAATTGGGTAAAAAATTACAGAATTTTTACCTTTTTCAGGTATCCTTAGCAGATTTTTCAGCTAAGAACACAATTATTTCAATACAAACAAGCCAAAAATTCGCCAAATTACACCAAAATTGAGATTATTTTTGCCTTTTTCGAGTGTTTAAACACGTTTTTGAGACAAATTTCACTAAATTTGTCTAAAAATGTCCAAAATATATCGACATGTGTATTATTTTAGTTATTTTATTCGATTTAGTTCTTTTTTGAAGCAGACTCATTTATTTTTCAAGATTTTCTTAAAACGCACGTAAAAAACGATGTTATTTCGTTTGTTTCACTCGATGTAACTGATGTTTGAGCAAAATTTTGGCGAAAATAAGCCGAAAAAACATAAAATTTGGTCGAAAACATTGTCACTTTTACTTTTTTCAAAGTTTGAAGCACGTTTTTGCGAATATTATATTGTTTTATTATTTTTTGAGCTGAAAACCACTCAGTTTAGGTCTAAAATACCATATTTCAGCGTTTTTGCGCCMAAAAGGTGTTCTTCGAASTTAAAAAATCAATTTTTTTAACTCGATTCTAGAACGTTTTATGCACCTTTCTGAGTCTTTTACAACATTTTGCACTTTTCTATGTCTCTCAGACCCCAAGGAGTACATTTGGTTTGATTTTGAAGTTTTTTTTTTATTTTTGTCAACATTTTGGGCGGTTTTAAGTAAAAGACAAAAATAACAAAAATATTATTTCGACAATAACTTCAAAACTATCATGAATTTTGCGGTTTTTTCGACACCAATCGACTCTTCGGAACATTTTACATTGGTATAGTACAAAACATAAACCGTTTTTAATATATTTTGACCTGTATTAACAAAATAAAAGTGAGTGAAAATTTTTGAATTGAACTAAAATCGGAAATTTTTGAAAATTGCGTGGTGTTATTGTAGCGGTGCTCTGGGCAAGTTTTTTAAAAGTTATCTCATCTCATATTACGCAAAATCGAGCGGTGTGGTAGTTGTGATAGCACTTGAGGATTTTTACTGGATT